TTATGACCAGGTTTCGTTATGTTCTTAGGGTTGGGTTTAAATTCCTAAGCGATGTCATTGGTGGATATAATTTTCAGGTGTGGTGCGGCTTATCTTTTTTTGTAACTTATTACACAAAGAGAAGATACAAACGACTGATTTATGAAGTTCTTATATACGACACCGTTTCTTTTGATGCCTTAAATTTGTCTAGACCACTTGCTATTAAAAATAAAATAAAATAAATATAAAATCCTTTATAATTACAAGTCTTTAAATGCATAAGAAAATAAAACTAATTTGCTTTCTATAGTAAAATATTTTGATCTGTCATGAGATCTCTTATATATTTTAATGACCAAACGGATGTTGTAAAAACTTATGAAATGTACAACCTCCATTTCTGAAATGTAGATAAACAGGGCTGATGAAGTAGAGTTCGCCTGTTTATGCGACAAAGTAGTCGGACTGCAAACGCAACCTTAAAATCTGGTATTCGAATCCCGGGCTCGAATCCGTCCCTGAGTACACCCAGCTCTTTTGGGTTCCTGGCTCACGCTAAGAAATAAATGACGTGGTTTTGTTTTGTTTAAAACGGCGTAAAACAGACCTGCTAACATAACAAAAACACGGTGAGCTTGGCATGTAGACTTGAGATTTGGAATCAAATCCTGATGAGATTTGTGAGGTGCTAGGGTACGGCGTCTGGCAAAACATTCTGTTTGAAATCCGTTGAAAGTGGACTATGGTAGGAGGTAGATTGAAGTAGAAAGTAGACTGAAGTAGGAGGTAAAGTAAAAAGTAGACTGAAGTAGCCAGGTACACCGGTTCAACTCAGTCAATTACAATTTCAAAGACTTCAACTTACATTTTTGTAAGCATTGTTTTACAAAAAATTACAACCACGTTGCTTCTCTCTAATAAACCGTTTAAAATCAAAATTTTTTTCCGAGGGGCGAACTAAAATTTCCGGCGAGAGAGAGAGAGAGAGAGAGAGAGAGAGAGAGAGAGAAAGGGGGGGGGGGACGGACACTGTTAAAAGTATATATTTTCTATATAAATTCAATTTCGTTAAGGGGGGGGGGGGTAGACGCTTTTCAGGAGATGCCTGGAAGAAACTCTCTTTAAATTACGTTGAATTAGAGGCTACACATTTTTAAACATGTTACACAATTAAACTAAGTCAAATGGAGTACAGCACGTAAACCCCTCCCACCTACTTTAGGAAAGGATTCTTTCAATTTTATTTATGTGCCCCTTGAAAAAAATACGGCAACCGATAAAAATATAATTACACTAAAAAAATTAAAGCCGGTTAGAAACCATCGATTACACACATTTTCATATTTTTGTATTGAGTACAAGCCGTAGAAAAGCCGTTTAGAACTATTTTATCAATTCAAATATTTATAACAGAAACTGCCCTCAACCCCTCTTTGAAGTCAACCGGAGTGGCCAGGGAAAGTAAAACAATGAAAGTTACAAAGATTGTTTCCATGATAAAATACACAACTTATTTTTCAAATGTTATAAAATATTTAATGTTGGCAGAAAATATGCCATCTGACAACATTTTTTTTTCTTTTTCAGACACGTTATTTACAGCGTCATTTTGCATTGCATGTTCGCTTTAGAATTAGTTTTCATCATCGGCTTGTGAGGACTGATACAGATTTACAATCAGTGGCGTAGGCAGGGGGGGTTAGGGGGGGTCTTAACCCCCCCCATAGACCCCTCGGTATATATAAAAAGTATGACGGGGGATGCAAATCGAAAGTTTGAGGGGGGGGGGGTGCAAATCGAAAGTTTGAGGGGGGGGTGCAAATCGAAAGCTTGAGGGGGGGGGGGTGCAAATCGAAAGTTTGAGGGGGGGGGGGGTGCAAATCGAAAGTTTGAGGGGGGGGGGTGCAAATCGAAAGTTTGAGGGGGGGTGCAAATCGAAAGTTTGAGGGGGGGGGTGCAAATCGAAAGTTTGAGGGGGGGGGGGGTGCAAATCGAAAGTTTGTCCCCGGGTAAAAATTGGAACCCCCCCCCTTGAGACGATCCTGGCTACGCCACTGTTTACAATAGTAATACTTCTTTCTTGCATGTGGCCTACTCTCATTCACTTAAAATGGTTTTACCAGGGGTCGGCAACCTTTTGAAGCGGAAGAGCCAAAAGTTACAATTTTTAAAATTTCCCTAGTTTTAATGAGCCACTAACATTTTTTTTTATTTCAAATATTTAATTTTTTTATTAAGATTATTAGTATTTGTTCAATGAGCTGGAGAGCCGCATCTTGATATCAAAAGAGCCGCAGGTTGCCGACCCCTGTCATAGGCTGTAGCGTCACCAGGTCGGGTGTACCCCCACTCCGGAAAAAAAAAATAAAAAAAAAAAAAAAAAAAAATATATATATATATATATATATATATATATATATATATATATATATATATATATATATATATATATATATATATATATATATATATATATATATATATATATATACATACATATATATATATATATATATATATATATATATATATATATATATATATATATATATATATATATATATATATATATATATATATATACATATATATTAGCCATCGGCACCCGTTACATGTGAATTTTAGGCCTATATTTTTGTAATGCCATACTTGCTTGAGAAAAATATTGTATGAAATAGTTATTGGTCAAAACGCAATGTGCTTTACTACACGTTGAACGTTATTAGTGAAAAAGCAAAGAAATAACTAAATAGTAAAAATATCCACACACATTTAGTATAACATAGGTTACCAATACCAATTAGAAAAATTAGAAATAAATCTAGAACACTAAAATTAATAACGAAGAAGACGAAGAAAATACAAAAATTATTTTAAGATGTCATGTTATTTGAAATTACTGAAGTAAACTTACACCATCTAATTTACAACTATTTTTTTACTGGTGTCACCCAACACCCCCCCACAACACCCCCCCCCCACCCCACACACCTCTACGCTGGGAGGCGGTTACATAGTGACATGTTCGATTAGAAATTTAGCATTGATATTTTAGTTAGCCGCCACACTCCATCATCAAAGGATTTATTGATTTGCAATTTTTTCAATGTGGTGTCAGGCCCATCCACTTTTTTGGATGGTGTATTTCGTTCTGATCACTACATTGTTCTGTGAAAGTTGCATTTGGTGTCAACCCCCTACCCCCCTCCAATTTAACAAGTGGCATCAATTTTTGCAAAATTTTTTATTAATCCCTTTATTATTTCAAGTAAAAAGATTTTGTCTCCGACGTAGACGTTGTGGTCTGCCAATATAGTAGTCCTCAAAACATTCTGCAATCGGCATTGCTTCTTGGGGGAAATTTTCCGACAATTTATTAAGTTGTCACCACCACCCCCTTGTTATAATTGTCGATTTGTACTTAAAAAAAACTATTAAACTTTAATTACTTATTAATCGAACTGGCAAAAAAAGCATTTTTCTTCTGTAAATTTTGCAATTTTTTGCCTTGGTATCACTTCCCTAAATGGCGTCACCCGGTGCGGCGCCCCCCCTCCCGCCGCGCCCTCGCTACGCCTCTGGTACCTTGTAATTTTGTAAAATAAAGGCCGAGGCTAGGACAGGAGAGTTCATAATAATAATCATTAAAAAAGTTTTTAAAAACCCACGTTTTCTGATTGAACTAAAAAGTAGAAAATAAATGCTATACATCACAATAATGCAAGCGAATGTATAAATATTGTCACGTAAGGACCACAATATCAACTTAAAATAAATGTATGCGGCCCCCATAAATCAAAGGACATGAAGCTCTGATTTATTATTTTATTTAAATGAAATCAAAATTCTGCAGTATATTTTCTTTTTTTTTTTTTGTCACTGCAAAGATTACATGCCTAGATATGCAATAAATATTTTTTGTTACTCATGAATATGTTTATTTTCTGCATTAAATGTTCGCTACTAGGAATTATAACGGTGCTGTAGAGAAGACGAAAAATTGCCTGTTTTCGAACGCCTCTAAAAACAGCATCAAACTAGCAATGTTATTTTATTCACGAAATAAGTCAAAGTTTGCTTTAAACACATAGCCACATATTTGACTAACAAATACAAGCAAAGAAACATTTTTTTCCACTTTAGCCTATATATTCATAGATAAATTTGTATATTGAAAATGTAGGTTATATATATATATATATATATATATATATATATATATATATATATATATATATATATATATATATATATATATATATATATAAATTTATATATATATAAATTTATATATATATAAATTTATATATATATATATATATATATATATATATATATATATATATATATATATATATATATATATATATATATATTATAAGCTTATATGTTCACGAAAGATGTCAAAGTTTGCTTTAAACACATAGCCACATAGAACACATACTTGACTAACAAATACAAACTAAGAAACATTTATCCCACCCTAACCTTTATATTCTTATATACATTTGTACATGGAAAATGTAGGCTTATATCGTGCGCATTTAAATTTCGGATACATTAATGTAATTATATCCGAATCAAAAACCTTTGTTTAATTAATTCACCTACGCTAATTTCCATTTATAAATTTTTATTAACCAAGAAAGGTAATCTGTAACTTTGATCCCAAAAATGGCTACATTTTAAAAAACAATCATAAGTAATTTTTAAAAATACAAAACATTGTTTACAGTGTGAATTAAAACAAAAATATTTTTAAGCCTTATAAAAATGATTGTTTAACTTCTTGTTTTGTAATTTGAAATTATTATCAGGCTCACGTTTTAATTGCAAACATCTAGCTAAATTAAAGAATTAGATTGTAGACATGATGTGAAAGTTCATAATAAACAATTCAAGTCTCTCCGTTGTCCTACACAATACTCCTTGTGACAAGATTGACTGTTCATCGCCGTTCAGCAGAAATGTGTCATCTACTAGATTTTTTCCCATTCAAATACACAGCGGGCAAAATAGAATCACTATCACTTTATCATAGCTGTGCAAACATTGAATTTGAAGTGTGAACTGGATTTATTATTGATTATTAAACATGAACATTTTGCCTCACAAAAGTTGGCATGTGCGGACTAAGAAGAATATAGAGAGAGTTAGAAAAGATGAAGAAAATGCAGCATCAGAAGAAAAGGAGAAACAAAGGCGAATTGCACTTGCTGAACAAGAAGCTCGAACAGCTTTACTCAGAGCTAAAAATCAAAGCAAATCCAAAGATCTGAACTGCAAGAGCTTAGATATTCATAATTCAACCACAAGTTCTGAGGTTGCCAGTAAAAGTAGATCTAGAGGTGAAAGTGGGATTATACCTAAAGAGCACATCGATTTTTTTAAGGAAATTGAAGATGGACTCATAAAACAAGGCAGCAACAAAGATAATGAAGCTGAAAAGAAACACGAAAAAGATCAGTTTGAGAAAAAAATTGGGCTTCTTACATATTTAGGCCAAAGTGCACAAGAAAGTAAAGGATCACCTTGGGATCTCCATCATTCAGTTAAAAAGAGAAGAAATGAATGTAGTTCAGTCAAAGAAGAATCAGAGGCAGAATCACAGAAAGATTGTCAAAAGCTCATAAATTATATGGATCCATTAGTTCAGATGAACCAATACATTAAGAAAAAAAACCACAGTAAAGAAAAAACCACTAAAAAAGAAGCCCAAAGAAAACACAGTGATAGCAAGAAAGAAACTTCAAAGAATGCTTCAAAAAAAACTATTGAGGAAATGAGACAAGAAAGATTATTACGTGAAACACATGAAAAATTAAGAGCTCAGGCTATTTTATCACCAAAAATCGAGAAACAGGATGCAAAATGTAGTGAAAATAACAGCGAAGTTAAAAGATCTAATAAGAGAAAATATAATTCACAGTATAACCCAGACCTATTTTAAACTATATTTTATTTTTGTCTCAATTTGTATGGCTGTTATTAAACTTCAAGGTTTAAATAAAAATTTATTTTGTGCAATTTATTAATCCATTTAAGTAAACATCGTATGGGTCATCCATTCACACTTTTTAAAAGTATTTCTAGCTCCCCCCCCTCTCAAAATAACAATACTTGTTTTGTTAATGGTTCTTCTTTTAAAAAATTATCTATTCTTTGTCAACATTGAGTAAAGCGATCAATTTTTATTGTATTTTACAAATTAAATCTTCTATCAATGCAAAAAAAAAAAAAAAAAAAAAAAAAAAAAAAAAAAAAAAAAAAAGTAGCTCTGGTAATTGCAATACTAACAAAGACTGTAAAGAAAGTAGATCAAGATCTAGATCTATATTATCTAGCCAAGAAAATTAACAAAACCTGTCGTATTTAATACTATCTTATCTGGATGAAGTTGAAGATAGGATACAAGCCCTCATGCGAAACGCCCAAAATCTTTCGCACGAAAGAGAGAGCTTACTTACAGTACTTTCGCATTTACAAGAAGAAAATAATCAAATAATAATTAGATCTAGATCTAGTTCTAACAGTGGTGAGGAATCATCTACAGAAGGAGAACATCAAGAAATCTGCTCCACCATTGAGAGGCTCAAGAAAAGATGCAAAAGCGTAGAAATAAAAATTCATACAATTAGAAGTGCAGAACAGGAAAGTGCTTATAAGACAGTCAACTCTTTAGTCAAAGATCTGGAGCAGGTATGTTTGCAGAATGAAAGTGATGATCAAACTTACAGCCAATTAGCTCAAAGTTATTTGAATGCATGTGTGTCTGACTTGAGTAATACTGGCCCAATTGATTACAAATTTCAAGGTATGATTTTAGGCTGCAGACTGGAAGATCAGAAGCAAGTAAGACAACGGCTTGAATGTTTAGTCAATGGGAAATGCCATGTCAGTCAAATTGAAGAGGAATTCATGGCATCAGCTTAAAATGTTGAACAAAGTGAATGTTTATCTAAAAGTGCTTGTTCTTCAGAAAAAATATAATATTCATATATAGTATATTTGATATGGTAAGCATATACGTACAGTATAGGAGCTTGGTTGTTTCTTGAAATGTGCTAACTAAAATTGTAAGCTGTCTGTATGAGAAAGCCAAACCAACCCTTAGACTACAGATAGAAATAACACGGTTTTGTTTTAGCACTTTAAGCCTGCTAATTTCAACTTCCATTTTTATACTATGTCAAATCAAAAATAATTCTTCGTTGCTTAAGCAGTGCTTTAAATGTAAGTTTAATATATTCCTACCTGGATTTATAAATAGGCCTACTGTTTTTATTCATCAAATAAAAATGTAATAAACCGGGAGTGATCTCCCCTAAACTTAAAAAAAAAAAAAAACCTCTGGTTTTTGACTTTCAAAACATTGAATAACTGAAAGAAAAGTCAAAGACGTTTTATAAAAGCCGAATTTACATTAAATCTGTAAATCTAGTTGCTTTTTCTGAGATTATAATAGTTCAATCAAAGTAAAATGGGTTTGGAAATTGGAGGCAGAGATGTCAGCTACAACATTCCAGTAATTACCACCATTGCATTGGGTCTGTATGTTGCATGGCAATGTTTTCGTTCATCTAACAAGCCACCCTCTAAGATCAACCCAGGCATTGACAAGTCTAAAGATAAAGTTGTAACCACCGTAAACGTGGAAGATGTTGGTGACAATGCTTGCTACTGCCGCTGCTGGAGACCAAAAAAGTTATGTGCGATGGATCTCACAATGCTTACAATCAGGAAACAGGAGACAATGGTGTTCCTTTGTGTTTTAAGAAGGATAAATGTGGCTCATAATCATTCAGTTTCCTGCCACATTTGTAATAGTACAGAATGTTGTGATGATCATTTCTTTAGACATTATAGAACAGAACAAACCTACTAGTGAATTGTTCATGAAACTAGTATGAGTATGTTTTACAAACAGAAAGATTTTAGTTTTTTTTAGATTTCAGTTTTCAACATACCTTTCTTAAATTCCATTTTTTTTTCTTAATTTTTACTTTGTTCCTTAATTTTCATATTTTGTTTAAAAGAAATGGTTTATTTTGTATCTCCACATGATTGGTTAATCAGATGGCTTGTGCAGTTTGCTCAATGTTATGATTCACATTTAAACAATTTAATTTTTAGCTTAGTTATTAAAGCACAATTATTAAATGCTGATGTTAATGTAAAGTGAAATTGTTGTAGGTAATTGTTCAACAGTAAGTGTGTTAGCATGTTATGTATTATTTAAATTCAAGTTCTATGCACAAAGCTATTCCTTTGAAAGTAATATCCATATGAGAATCCATCTTTGTGACATTTTTTTAAACCAACAATTTTTTTACACTATGGGTAATTTCAATAAGATCACACAGGAGTTTGGTAGTATGTTCTTATTTCAGCACTTTAGTGTTAGATATATGTGCCTTAGAATTTTCTAGCTAGTGTGATTCTTTATATGATGTATAGGATTGGGTATTTATAGTTGATTTACATGTGCCAGTCGTAACTTTTATATGGATTGTTTTGCCCCACATTTGTAACCTTTGACTTGCTGTTGAGATCTAGCTTCTGGTTTCTTAATGTTTTGTCAATGTTCAGATAAATACTACTCAACATTCTTGTTAAAAGGGGCTCAGTGCTTAGTTAAAATATCCATATTTAGCATGTAAATAAAAAATTTTTGAAAAAAAAAAAAAAAAAAAGTAACTCTGGTTTTTTAATTAATAAAGACAAAAATTGAAAATAGAACATACTCTTGGTCTAGGCCAGGGGTCTGCAACCTTTTGAGGTGTAAGAGCCAAAAGCTACAATTTACAAAATTTCCAAGTTTTAAAAGAACCATTCATAATAGTTCTTCAATATTAAGGTATTTGATTAGGATTAGCTAAATAATTTTTTTATGAGTTTAAGTATGAAAACATAAAGTATTTCAACTAGTTCTTTTAGGATAATAAAATCCAATTATAAAACTATCCCTACCCAATTTAGAGGCTAATAACTATTAGAATATGCCACTCAAGTCAAATAAATGCACGGTAAAACATACAAAAATGCCTTCTGATTAAAATAACCATTACTTTTGAAAATATGTGAAAAAAAAGTGCACTTCGGTAGTTGAACGCATGGAACCACTGCCACGGGGCTGGCCACAGTTGTGGGGCTGGGCTTTGTGTCCATGCAGCTGTCAACTGTTTGTATACGCTCTACTCCACCTATTCTTAGTGTTTTTATTTTGTTTAAAGTTGTTTTCAAGTATAATATCTTTATGAGTTATGAAAATAAAATAATGTCATTATTATGGAACTGGCGAGCCGCATCCTGACATCAAAGGAGCCGCAGGTTGCCGACCCCTGGTGTTACTTATGCATAGATCTTATACAAGACGTCCAATTACAATTTTTTTAAACGTTTAAAATTATTTGGAGCTAGCTTTTCAAGCCTATTGACATTCCGAGGATCTCAATTTAAACTTATTAAAATACTGTTGTAAGAAAGCTAATGGTTTTTTGTTTTTAACTTTAATTTTTAATTATTTTAACACTATAAAGTTATGACTAACCTAATATTGACATTTTAAGTATTAATTAAAAAACTCGACACACTATTTTAATACTACTCTATTTTCAGTTCCCTGTGTGTATCGTGTGTTTATAAGACTCGTGACTGCAGCACTAGTAAGGAGAGGGAACTGCACATGTTTGTGTTGACAAAATTTTATTTACGTTTTGTTCAAGGCGTGACTAATGTTGTGTATCATCTCAATGCGGGGGTGGATAAGTTTAAAGCCCTCTTTGATGTAGCGTTGTCGATAAACAAATACGTGTGACTGGCACATCAAAGGCTAAGTCGCAACGGTTCGGTCTTCGTTCTTAATTTGAGTGTTGGAGGGTTTTCCCCTCCACACAATTAAGTATACGTGTCAACTGGTTATGTGCCACTTAGGCCGTTGACTCTGATTTCAGCCTGCTTTTCTTTTTGGATATGCTTCCAAGGCCTTTGTCCAACCAAGAACAAACTAGGCAGCAGTTGTTTGATTTTGGAGTTGTCTCTCCTAGACGAGTTGCTGTCACCAGCTAACGAGCCACATCTGCCCGAGGGTTCAAACTCGGGACTTTTCGGTTTAGCAACCATGGACTTTACCGACGCCGACCGAGTTCGGTCTGAAATCATTGTATGCTTTGATTAATCCGTTTCCAATACCAATGTGAATGTCCCGCGTGGAACGACAATACATAGAGAATTTTAAAAAAATCATAAACAAATGATGACACTACAATAGAAAAAGAACAAATAGAATAAAACTTTTATTACAATGGCGAAGATGTATTCTTAATTTGGCGATTTTCTTGTCTGCTTAAACCACGTGGTATAGTTTTGCTTTAGGTTTTATAAAAAAAAAAGAAGAAACAACAATAGAAACCCGGATCTATTGACGACACTCAAACATAAGTTAGCTTTAGCCAGCTTTAGCGTGTATACTTGAGATGTTGCATCAAAGTGTGAGGTGTACTAGGTTACGTTGTCTGCTAAATAGTTTGTGAAAAAAAATAGACTAGGGCAGAAAGTAGACTAAAGTAGACACTATGATAGCTAGACATTACAGACACAAAATACTAGAGTATGTCACTTGAGCCACGTAGGCAATGGCAAAGATGAGTGCAACTGAAGTTTTTTGCATGTTTTGTTTTACCCAAAAAGATTATCTATCATTTTGTTTTTGTATTTTTATGAAACCGACTACAGACTATCATAAGCTTTTTTCTTTTGCTAAATAATTTTCTTACAAGAAATATTATATTTTTAATAATAAGAAAAATCTGGATTAATTAGGGTTAATAGTCTAACTGATTAAGTTGCACACACATACACACAGACACAGACAGACAGACACACAGACACAGACACACACGCACTCACACACACACACACACACACACACAAACACACACACATGCACACACACACACACACGTACGCGCGCACACACACACGCACGCACGCACGCACACACACACACATACA